TTATTGATGTGGTTCTCCAGGAGGGTGACGAGGCAATTCTGACACTGGCCCTGGTGTGCACTCGCTTCAGAGACCTTGTGACACGGGAAGCCTTCAGGAGATGAGCCCATTTTCTTCGGCTTGACAGTAAGTGTTCCCTAGTAGTTTTGCATAACTTGTTACATATTTTTATACAAATCTTAAGAAATTCTTGTTATTTGCTTGAACGGCTGGTTAAAGGGATCATATGATGCTGTTAAAAAGAACATTATTTTGTGTATTTGGTGTAATGAAATGTTTTTATGCGGTTTAAGGTTCAAAAAACACATTATTTTCCACATACTGTACATTGATGTTTCTCCTCTATGCCCCGCCTTTCTGAAGGAACACCTCTTCACTGAATATTTTGTAGTATGTGCACCTCATTAGCGTTGTGTTGTGTAGTATGCGCACAGCTATGACAAGATGACGACAGATGAGAACAAATCTTGTTGCGTAGTGTGAGCAACACAGTGATTCAGCTAGTCTTTCAATCCTGTAGTGTGAGCCCGGCTTTAGTATGACTTGAATCTGCCATATGTCCAATCAAAATGCAGTGGGAGGAGATCCAACTCCACCCCCTGGACCTGGATCCAACTCTGCCCCCTGGACCTGATCCAACACCCCCCCCCTGGATCTAGATACAATTCTAACCCCTGGACCTGGATCCAACTCCGCCCCCTGGATCTAGAGATACAACCCCACCCCCTGGACCTGGATCCAACTCTGCCCCCTGGACCTGATCCAACTCCGCCCCCTGGATCTAGATACAATTCTAGCCCCTGGACCTGGATCCAACTCCGCCCCCTGGATCTAGATACAACTCCACCCCCTGGACCTGGATCCAACTCCGCCCCCTGGATCTTGTGTTGCAGTGAAGGGCTACTACTCAAAGGGGTTGCACCTGGTTTACCCAACTTGGACACAGCCAATTTTGTACTAAGTTTCCATGAAGGCCCCCACATGGGTTAGTCTATAGGGCTGATGATATAAAAACAGAGTGTTTATAAAATCCACACTACAGATTGTTAAAAGTACCACTAATGCAGATTTGCAGTTAATTAAGTGCTGATTGAGCATTAGTGATAAACATGCTGCTAACAGGCAGAATCTGCTATGCTTTTTTAATGGGTAAGCTATTTCTTTAAACGTATTGAAACCAATTGTCTATTTAATTTGTAGTTCAGAAGTAAACCAAAGACTGAGGATGCCACATGTAGCTCAACAGAAAACTATTCCGCTCCATTCATCTCCATGCCATGTGTGACTGGTTGTAATATAACATTTTGTGAGATATGTAGGGTCTGTACTTGATTGTCAGGTGCTGAAAAATAGCCTCTTTTACACCCAGCAGAAATACCCACCAAAAGGCTGTTACATGTGATGGCGGGTACCCATGTTTTGGCCATCCTGTATCGAGAACCAGTATATAATCAAGCAAATCAAAAATCTGAGGGGGGAATGTGCCTCTGATTAGTTGAATGTACATGGTTTAGCTTAAAACAGCAGTTTTACATTTTGTTGTTAGACCCGTATTTTAGTTTCCTATTTTGTTGTTTTTAAATGAAATGATGATTTTAATATATTTCTCAGTCAGAAATAAACAATGTTGATTAGTTTACTCAGACAACCTACCTTATGTTATTAAGCTTTCAGACTACTGCCTGCTGTGAGGAAAGTTTACCTTCAAGCCCCATCATTTCTATTATATGACATACAGAAAGTGTAATGAACACACAAAGACATGTTTCAATATTCTTCATCACCTCTTTTCCAGGCCTATGTATTTAATAATCATCCAACCTTCATTCACATAAAGAATCACACAGAAAGGTTAAACTTAACAGCTTGCTCAAGAACATTTATTCTGTTCTGGTCCACTACTCTAGCTGTACTTGAACACAAGAATGCATGTGAATGGCTACTTAAAACGTAAGTTTTATTGTAAACGTATGAGTTTTAAACATAAGAGTTATTGCAGCAGCTTTTCAAAACGTTGCGAATAGCACAAACATCAAACTTTTTGACACAGATATCTCTGTGAAGTAAAAAGTTTCTACTGCAATAACATCTTTGAATGTTAAAAAAAGAATGCTGCAATAATTAAACATGTCTTCCTTTAAATCATCCCCAATGTTAAAACATTGTCCTGATTAAAAAAAAAAAAAAAAGCTTACATATTCATTCTTCTAGAGGGTTGAGGTGCAACAGTAGAAGTAGGTCTGTCTCATTTTACACTTTTTGTAGACGGAACTCAGTGTGTTCTTAGTTGAAGGCCATAAATCAGACTTTCTCAAGATAACTAAAGGTGTTAGTTCATCTTTAATCATATCCTCACAGACAAAGCCTCCAAATAATTAAAAAATACATTGAAAAAAGTCTGGACTATAATAAATAAATATCACTGCACCAACATACTTTGTTTTCCTGCTAGTCACCTCAGGATTTCCATCCTGAAGCAGAAATGAATTAAAACACTGAACAGGTTTGATGCTGCTCAGGTGTAATCTCAAAAAAAAGAAGAAGAAAAAAAAAGTTAAAAGTACAAGCACACACACAAAATCACAATAATAATGACACATTGCAACATTTGTTTCATATTGGTTAGTTTTGTGTTTTTAGTCTATGGCCCTAAGACTGAATACTGTTGACATGTTTTATTATTTGTTTGTCTCTATAGTCTAAAAATGTCTATGCACTTTTGTGATTTGAAGCAACATGTGAACATGCCTGTCGCTGCAGCTGAATAAACAGAAGATTCAACTGCTTTCATTGATTCAACGTGACTAATAATAACTAATATAATTTTCAATAAAATAAAGTATATTTATAATGCAATGTTTTTATCACTGCTTAAATACTATGAAATATGTTGCGTGCCTTATTCTGTGTAAGAAGCCACATCATCTCACAGAAGGATTTATGGGCTGCATTCTATGTTCCAGAGTTTGAGGTGAGGAAGGCTGGAAGTAGGGCTGCACGATAAAACGAAATGGGGCTGATTACAGAACCGGCATTACTATCAAAATGCGCATGACAATCGCATTCGATTAATCGTGCAGCCCTAGCTGGAAGGATAACAGATATAGGATAATCAGTATATACAGCTGAGATGATAGCTATTTTAATGGCACTAGAGTGGGTGTATGAAGTTAGACCTGATAAAGTAATAATATGTTCTGATTCAATGGCAGTCCTTATGAGTTTACAATCATTGGAAACAAATAGAACTGACATTTTAACTGAAATCATGATTAGGTTATACAGTTTACGACAGATGAGAATAATAATTCAATTTATGTGGGTACCAGCACACGTGGGAATTCAAGGTAATGAGGAAGCAGACAAAATTGCCAAAGAATCGATTAAAATGAAAGAACCAAATATAAACATTGCACTCAGTAGATCAGAAAGAAAACATTTTATTTTAGAAGCATGCAATAGGAGATGACAGACAGTTTGGGACTCATGTCATACAGGTCGACACTATATTACAAGGTTCAAAAACCCATAAAGAAAAGCAAAATAATTCACAACTTAAGTAGAAAAGAACAAGTTATTTTCACACATTTACGAACAGGACACTCATATCTAAATCATACTTTACACATTCTAGGAAAACATAACACGGGTCTATGTGATGTCTGTTTAATAGAGGAAACTGTAGAGCATGTTATGAAGATATGTAAGATATATGAAATAGAAAGGAGGATTCTTAAGGAAGAATTACAAGCAGTAGGATGCCAGGAATTTACTATAACCAGC